TGGCAGAGTTGAGCTTGGCTAACCCAGTCTTTTGAGTCCTAAATAGAACAACTGCATCAGTTCAGCTTTTCTTTCATGATTATTTCAGTTTGTCATCCACGGACCTCACAGAAGACTGTGTCCCTGCCATCGCCTCTCTGTTCTCCAAGAAGAATACCCTGATACAACTTGACCTGAGCTTTAATAACCTTAGCAACAGTGGAGTGAAAACCTTGTGCTCTGCCCTGAAAAATAAGGAAAGTCATCTTGAGGAACTAAAGTATGTCCAGGCTCCATTATATTTTTTTTCTTTTCATAACGCCATAAGTAAAGCAGCATGGGTTCTATGCAAAGCTACAGTATGCTCTGTTGTTCTTTGTTTTCATAATCCCCTAAATGAAGAAAATGCTAGGAGTGCACCAAGAGAGATGTTTTGGGCCGATACTGATGGACAATTTTTAAGGAGCCATATCAGCTAATACCGATCTAAGTGCCAATATGCAGCCAGGCAGTGTGGAGACCAGCGTCGGACTGGTAAATCTGGTGTGGGGGAAGAGGGAAGGGGAGGGAAGAGGCATGGAGTGGCAGTTCGAGGCCCCCGCAATGAGCGAGGGAGTGAGGCAGGGTCAGGCACTATTCAGCCAGGGCAGGCATGGGACAGAGCCTCATGAGGCTTGTCCAGGGTCGCGAGGGGTGGGGGGTAGGGGGAACAGCTCCCACTGCTGTGCGCACCTTGGGAGGGCATGAAGGGGAGCCCTCGTATCTGCACAGGGTGGGTCAGGATGCCACTGTGGGCTTGGGCCTGAGCTATGCCAGGCTCTTCCTGGTGCAGGCCGGGCTGGGCTGCCCTGTGATCAGGGTGTCCAGCAGCGGTGCTGGGAGCAGGCCTGTGGGGGGAGCTAAAGCCACCCCAAAATTCACCATAGCCCTCCCATAGTCCCCTCCCAGCGCTGCTGCTGCGTGTCATGAGTGCAGCACAGCCCGGCCCAGCCTCCCACCAGGAAGAGCCCAGCGCAGCCCCCGGGCCTAGCCCACCCTCCCCACCCCATGTGCAGATCCGGGGGCACATGCACCCCATACTCTCCCAGTGTGCGTGCAGCGACGGGAGCCCCCCCCCCAGATGAGCTTTCTGTCCTGGGCCCACCCCACCCCACCCCATCCCAGCTGAACAGTGCCTGCCACAACCCCACTCCCTCCTTTACCCCAGGAGCCTCGATCTGCCCCCACAACACACACCCCCCTTCCCCCACTGTCCCAGCTGCCTACGGAGGGTTCGGGATTGAGAGTGTGGTTGTGGGTAGAAAGGTAAGAAAGGTTTATTGACTTAACAAAAACACGACCGCACGTAATATAATAAGACAGGCAATGACAGACAATAATAATTTGCGTCAGCAACTTATCAGCAGTCCCCTCTGATGCCTGATGTATGACAAGTTTCTCTTCTGCAAAGCTCAGTGAAATCAGGCATCCCCAATCAGCACTGTCCAAGGGGTACCAGGAAGGACCCTGGTATTCAGTCCTTGGGCTCCTCGAGATCCACTGGCCCACTGATCCAGGTCAGCAGCTAATTAGTCCCTTTCACAAAGCTGCATCTTCCTTCTAAATGATTTCCGGATATGCCAGCCAATTTATAACTTCTGAGCTATGCTGATAGCTTACAGCCATCCAGATTCTCCCATTATAATTATCCTTAGGACTGACCAGTAACAGTACAAGCCTTGCATTCTTTTGATAAGGTTAATTTTAACTACGTCACAGGGCTTACTACTGCAAGGCTTTGTTAAATTTACTAGGCCTCATTACATACAAGGCCTCACTACATCTTTGACTTTAATTATGCTCTTAACAACATAGAGCTTAATATCTGAACAAATACAGAAAAACACTTGGTCTAATCTTCATAGAGCCTTCAGCAAGCACTTTTATCACACACATAATTTTCAGCTGTCACACCCCATCCCTTCCCCCACACCAGGCTTATCAGCCAGATGTTGGTCTCCGAGCTGCCGGGCTGTACTCCTGGCCTCATGCATGCTGCAGCTGCACTCATTCTTGGGGCATTTATTGGCTACATTATTGACGGCATCAGGCAAAAAAGCCAATTTCTGATACTTTCAATTTTCCCTATGTCAGTGTCAACCCAATATGGGACCAATGTATCGGTACACCTCTAGAAAATGCCTAAGGACAAGAAATCATTAGACAGGCAAGGCATGAGATTGCAAAGCATTTGGAGGAGAGAGAATCCATCTGTATAACAAGACTGAGATTATAGGTGGCATGTAGGAGATGTGAGGATATGTGCAAGAAGAGAGGGCCTCCTCTGGGTGGTCTCCAACAGTAATCCCATTTTCAAATGTTCTGTTTCAGAAACTTTTCTGTTTTCCTCTAGCCTTGAATACAATGGTATCACTGATGACTGTGAGCGGGAGTTCATCCAACTAATTAAAAACATCCCGTCCCTGAAATACCTATGTTTGGATAATAATGAGTTCACGTCCACTTCTGCAAGCCGCATCTTTGGTGCATGGGACAAATACCATGACAATGAGGAAGAGGTGCAGGATGAAGAGTGACTGAGGAGCAGATAGTACACTCAATTCTCTCCTCTGCTGGGAAGAGTGGTGCAGAGCTAAGTAATTTTGTTATGTGAACATGCTGCTAGTGAATGAAACTCCTGGGATCTTTACAGTAAACTCCTTTTATACAGAGCTAAGTACAACATGATAAGCAACAGTGTACCCATCCCCTCTGCTGCTCAGCTAAGGGGTCTCTTCCCTGACCTGGAAAGAGCATCTCTAGGGAAGAGATGATAACTCAGAACTGTAAAAGTCATTTTAAGGGTATTTAGATGCCTAAATTGCATAGATTTCAATGGAAATGAGATGCTTAAGACCCTTTACAAATCTTGCCCTTTGTTTGCATCATCTAGTCTCTGACTCTTGTAATGAGACTGACATGAGGTGTTAAATGCAGGTGATGGCAGAGAGAATGAAAGCAGCAAGAAGCAACCCAGCTATGCAAGCCCAGAAACAGACACCCAAATTCTCAAAAATCACCTTTGTCAAGAATAAAGTCTCCAGATCCAGATCTTTCAGAGAGGCAATATGTGCAAAATACGGTCAAGTCAGAGCTGGAACAGACTTGTTGTTCATCATAGTAGAAGAAACTAAGGAAAATAACTCCTACTTCTAAAGAAATAATTACTTATCTTTTCCTAATCTGAACTATGCACACCACCATGAATAGGGCCAAAATTCAAGGATAACATATGAATGCTGCCTGGTGTCACCCTCTGTGTATGGTCTAAAATTGAACTGTGTCTGATAGGGGTGGTCTTTGTGTCATTTGCTTATATAATACTTAGCATCATCCTTCATAGCTGGACTGCTTCAATAAAAAAATGTATGAAGCCATGCAAGAATCTGTTCTTTAAGCTGTAACACATCATATGCATGTGTGATCCTTGTGATCTAGTATTTCTAACAGAGGGGATCAAAGAATGGGAAATCTGGCATTTGGAGACAGAAAGATAGTTAGATATCATGTCCTCCTCTGACCTAACAAAATATTCTCAACATAAATTATGTTAAGTTTAGTATCTAGAGAGTTAGTTTGCTTGGTTTTTGAGGGTGTGGGGGTTTCTAGGAAGGATGCTGTTGACTTGTTGCAGTTTCATTCACTTAGAAAGCCATGAAGTTTTTCCAGAGTAGTTTATCCTTGAATGTAATGGTATGAGTTGATAACAGCTCCTATGGCTGATACCTTGAGCATATGGGAACAAAGCTAAGAGGCCAGAACCCAGGAACAAGCAGCCAGGCCCTTTAAGAGAAACATGGTGCCACTAATCCCAGCCCACCACCCTACAACTGACTGCCCAGACTGGGCAAGGCTAAGCTGAACCTTCATCAGAGCCTAGCCCTCCACCCACTCCCTGACTGGTCAGGGTCAGGTGACCTTCTGTTTCCCCCATACAGTCTGAGCAGAACCAAGAAGTGTCTGTGTAACAGGGCTCAGTCTAGACTGCTTTGCTCTACCCTCCAGCTCGCTCTGTGCCTCCACTCTCTGCATGCTCTCCTGGCTTCGCAGCCCAGCTGTCTCTCCAACTCTGCTCCCTGCCTGATCTCCCAGCTGTCTGACTCCGCTTGTTCCTAGACCCTGCTGTTCGATTGACCTCCTGGCTTCTTGACCTGCCTCATCCCTGGTTTGCTCCTCCTAACCCTGGTTGGCACCTTGATTCCCCAAGTGACCTCTGACCTGGCTGTCTGCAACCTGGTATAACACTTAGTTTGAACTGGTCAGTTAGACTACTCAAGGAGAAACACCCTCAAAATTGGTATTTGATATTTTTAGGTTATCCCAAGAATTTTGTACCCTGTGAATGTTTCATGTAGCATGGGAAGATTCCATTCTTATGAAACTAAACTGAGTCTTTAATACAGAAATTCTTTGTAGACCTGCTCCAGCTGCAGGTTAGCACTCCTAGCAATGTACACACAAGCTTGGATTCCTTGTTTGTCCTCCAGATTCTCTTTCTTCTGCAATATGTGTTCCTCTCAGTTTGATTAAAGTTACTACAATGACAATTTCTGAATTTTGGGGTCAGAAGAGCACTGGTGGTTGCTTAGTCTGACCTCCTGCATAACTTGGGCCAATAAAATGCATTGACTAATTCCTCCCTCCAACATGCTGACCTTACAAAGAAACCAGCAAAAAGTATTTACAAGAGAAAAAAAAGTTTCTATGTTTTAGTCTGATTGAGATCCTCACAGCTCATACAGATTATTATTATTATAGTCTCTGTGGATCGATACTTTGTGGGACATTTGAGGCTTTATAAACTAGTATGTGGGATTAGGCCTAAAACATACTGGACATGTCTACATGTGCGCTTTAATGCGTATTTGCCTATTTTAATGCACATTAATGCATCACTTAAAAACCATGCTCTTTATTTAATGTGAATTAAAGCAAGTTAATGCGCATTTTCTTAGTACCTCACAATGCAGGGTGCATTGAGGTTGCTCCGACACACTGTAATTATGTACAATTAATCAAATCTGTTGAAGTGTGGTAATTACCGCACACCAGCAGACTCCAGCAGCATGTATATCAGTCTCTCCCTGCTGAAAAATGTCATTTGCCACTCTTTAATTAAAGTGTGCCTGCCACTGTTTTTCAGGGCAGGGACGCTTATACACGTGACACTCCGGGCACTTTAATTAGAGTGGCCCTCAGAGCTGCTCTAATTAAAGTACTCTACCGCCTCCTACAGCACATGTATAAATACCCAGAGGTACTAGATTTAATGCATATTAACTAAAGCCCATTAATGCACATGTAGACATGCCCACTAAGGCAGCTCATTTCTAATTCAGGTTGAATAATTAAAGGCCCTTCTAGACGTATTTCACAAGTTTCAATAACAAGCTAGTAATTTGGTGTGGCTTCATAGCAATTTTATAAACACCTCCTCTAATAGGGATCTAAATTAATCTTTCTACATCTCATTAGTTTAGCTATCAGAGAGCTTTTGCAATTGACTTTTCAGCCACCTTCATTTAATTTAAAATATAAATGCAAGATATTAATACTTTATAGATGCAGTTTTAATTAGTAAATCACTACATCTCAGAGATATCATTCTGTTATACAGCACCCAACTTCTGCTTCTAGGGCTCTTGGGACTGTTTGAATGGTGTTTGTTCATTGTAAGGTTAGGAGCAATCTAATATAGCTTCAGGTTTATGTAAAAGAAAATCAAACCTTAGTTTGCCAAATTAGGAAGTTCTGCTTAGCAAATGAGTGATTTTATTTCTTTAAAAAAACTATTTCTCCCTATTCTATCCCTTAGTTTTATAACATGGCACAAGTACTACAATGCAAGAGAGATTTATCATTACTGTAATGATAATCATGAAGTTTTAATGAATAATCCTGAATCAGTGTAATGCATCATGTTTCTAGAGTGCCCTTCATCCCAACACACTTGACAAACAACATGCCAACATCCTGTTCTTACTCTGATTGCCATTCGCTTCATTTGTGTCCTTGTGACAAGAGGCTAGGATTGGGCAAGGTGTTGCATGGGAGGAGCGGCACAGTCTTTCAGAATGCCAGTCAGTCAATCACAGAACCCAACCTAAAGGAACAGAGCTATTTCTCAGACTGATGTTGAAATCCAGATGTAATGGGGGTCCCTCCCCCTGTTACTTGGCAGGCAGGCAGCAGAGGTAAAGGACTGCAAAGCCATAGGCTGCAAAGCCCAGTCAGCAGAGTCAGCCTTCTAACTGCAGGCAGCAAAATCCTGGGGGGCTGGTGAGGTGATTAGCAACCCCTATGCCCAGCTAAGGAGGTCTGCTGACCAGAAATGGTGGAGCCAGTCTGGAGATATCCCCAGAGCTCCAGGGCTAGAGGGGCATTCTGACCCTGATTTCTGGAAAGGAAGGAGCTATGCAGAAAGGTCTCTGTGGAAGGAGCTAAGTGGTTTTTTGAGTTATGTCTGTTTGGGTCTGTAACAACCAGAGGCTTGGGAGTGACTGAACTGGGGTGGGGGCACATGGGGTGCCTGGAAAGCACTTGGCGCTTTGAGCCCTACAGAGGCCAGGGGCCCAGTGCTGAAGCCAAGATCAGGCTACACGGCCTGGTGAATGGAGTTAAGAGTAAGACCCCCGAAGTATGGGCATGGCTATGAGGAGGCTGGAAGCCACGATTAGCACTAGTGATGATGTAGAAAGAATTGATTAGTGGGCTAGTTAAAAGATCTGTGAAAGACTGCATATTTGGGAGGGTCAAGCCATGGGAAGAAGACACAAAGCCTCCCCAGAGACTCTGATAGCCGGCTGCCAGGGGCCCAGAGACTAAGAGTAAGAGGAGCAAGCAAGCCCCATGAACTGAACTGAGGCAGAAAGAAGAAGAACCTAAGGAAGCCATGCTGGTAAGGGCAGTCTCCCAAAGTAACCAAAGATATGGCAGGTGAAGTGGCAGCCAGACGGAGGGGGAGGGGAGGGGAAGGGTACCCTGACAAGCCAGAGTAGGAAGTAGGATCTGGGAAACAAACTGGTAGAGGAAACAGTGCTGGTACCCAGTCACATCAGAGCTTGTAGGATCCCATTACTTTCAAATGATAAGTACTGTTGTTTGAAAGTATCCCTGAGGCAGAAAAACTAAGGACAGGAACAAAGCAATTCTCTAAGGAGAGACTCTGGGAATAATTTAGCTCAGGTTGAGATTTTGTCATCATTACAATTGTCAATAAAGACCAAATCTAGAAAGGGGGCAAGTATGATTGCTCTGTTAGGAGCAAGATGACAGAGACTCTTGCTTAAATGGACCCTACATACATCCCCACTGAAATTTGGCTACTCTGGGAGTACTGGAGAATAGCCACCATGACAATCTGAACAGAAAACATTGCACAACAGTGCAGAGAGGAAACATTGTGACTTCAGAGAACCAGGAAATCTGCTACTGCAAGCAATGTTAGAAGATCTTAAGGATCTGGATTAAAAGAGGTCAGACATCCAGAACAGAAAGCAAAAGTATGCAGCACCTTAATTTATGCATGAAGTTAATGACTGACATCTATAAGAGCAGGGACAGAACCAGAGGGCATGCAGTCACATCCCCCCCGCTCCCACCTTTGGCTGTGCTACTCCTAAGTTCTGGGTGCGGGTGTCTGGTTGGGCATGCTCATCCCCTCCTTTCCCCTTCTGCTGAGGGAGGGAGGGAAAGGTTGAACAGCAGCCTGCTTCACCCCTGGGCTCTGGGGCTATGCAAAAGCAGGGGCTCTTGCCAGATCCTTCCCCAATCTGCTGGGGAGGTCAGAGTTCACTGCTTGTGCTGAACTCTGGCAGCAGGTTTGCTCACTGGGAAGTCATCTCAGAGCTTGCTGCATATTCATGGAGTGGCCAAAGAAGTGTATGACTGCACCCTCCTTGCCCTGTTCCTGGATCCACTGCCTTGCCCTGGGGATTTGGGAGTGCGATGCCAATGAAAGTGCATGTATTTGAAAGCACCTAAGCTGTGAAAATTAGGCCTCTGGTGCTTATAGAGAGAAGACAGTGCTTTATAATCTTAAATATCTCATCTGAAAGGCCCGCATGCCAGACTGCAGATAGTTTCCTGCTCTGTCTAAAATACCTGAAGAGCTGAGTCACTGCTTCCCTGATCCCAGCCTGCAGGCTCTGGGAGTCTGGGGACTCCAGCTTGGCGGCTGAGACTCCCCAAGTTCCAGCCCAAACAAAACTCTCCCTTGGGAGTATCTGTCAGGATTTGCATACATGGAAGTCAAACTTGTGTTGACAGCAGTTTGGGACTATAACAGAGCAGTCTGTCCCCTTCAAAAGGGACAGGCAGCCCTGGTTAGGACATTCAGCTGTGGGGCCTTCTGCTACTGAGGGGATGTCCTACTGGAAGCTTAAAACCCCAGAAGAGAGAGCTGAGAGGAGGCAAACTGTAAGGGAGAAGTGTAAGGAGAAAGGAAGCAGGCTATGAGCTGAACAATTTGCTGCACAGGGGGGCCAGGCTGTTGTGCGGGGACCAGAGCCAAAGGGCTCCCCTCCTACCTCCCAGGACAGGGCAGAAGGGGTTGGTTTTGTTGGTGTATCTGTTTGTTTGTAGGACTTCTATTTGGGAGGACTGGCTGAGGAGCTCCTCAGGGAGCAAAACCCACCTGCAGAATCCAGGAGGCCAGCAACCCACTAAAGGGGCCCACTGTACACCAAACTAATGCTTTTCTATAACAAGGATAGGGTTAGATCTTCCTTCCTATAGGAAAGTCACTGAGAGTGGCCCGAAGGTAGAAATGCTCAGCTGTTTTCTCCTCCCAGAACTTACTTCCAAATTGTTCCTACATCCTCTCCCCTTCCCTCCCTTCTTGTAGGATGGTCAAGAGGTTCCACTTCCAACCTTCCTGCCATCCAACAAAGGAGAGTGAGAAATCTTTCTTTCTCCTCGCTGTGTCCCTACCCCTTCAGCAGCATCAGACCAATATGCTAAAATGCATGAAGTTGGCAGGTTAGTTACGTATGCATTTGCCCTCCCACCTCAAACTCAATCCCTTCACCTTCCTCCCGGGCCAGAGATCTTCAGGCCAAAAAAGGGTTCTCTGCAGGCTCTGGGGCAGTGCTGTGAACAGTTGTTGATCTATCAACAGGGATACCCTCTGCCTAGAGAACCAGGGTACCTACTGGTCCTCTGCTAGCAGTCGAGAGTTCCCAATACTGAGCTGCACCTACTGAGCACAAAAGGCGTTTCTACATTGATTTTTAATGACTGGTTTGGGACCTGAATTAACAGGTCTGTAATTTCTAATCATGTTCAGTTCACTCTGCATTAAATGAGAGGTGCACGTGTCTTCATCTGCAGCATTGCAGTGATGCGAGTAAAGTCTATTAACTAAAGCTGTCCTAGAGTGAGAAGAGTCTTACATAAAGTACGTAACAACCTGTGCTCCACATTCCCTTCTCCCAGGAACCATCAGGCCTTCAAAGCTGTGCTTCACAAGGTCACTCTGTGCTCCAGACAAAGGTTACCCAGTATCTATCAATAGGTAATAGAGAAAGAATCAGGGCAGCAGGGAAATAAAACAAGGGACAAAATTTGGCTCCTCATGAGGCCAGTGTAAATCTGGAAGGATTGCAGTAGAGTCATCAGAGTCACTCCTGGCTTATACCAGCATGCTTAGATGTTACCAGATTTGCCCATCACTTTGGGGTGCACTCATTTATTAGGGGTACGTTTCTGGGGTCTGTAATTCTATCTATATGCTGCTTGTGTTGCTTGTGTTTCTATATGGAGCTGTATCTCTCCCTTCTGCAAGTCCTCACCCCCATGGAGCTATCTTGCAGGACTCAGTTTCAATGGGGCTGGTTTTCTCCAGCCACCAAATAAGTCTCACACACACACACACACACACATATTAATAGAGCACGTCTGAGCCGGCTGGGTCGATCAACATGTATAGGCTGACACCCTTATATGCTGCGGACTCTGTTCATCAGGGCAACAATAAAATGCAGTCAGACACAAGCACATGGGTTAACAGAGCACATCTGAGTCAGGCTGAGTCAGGTATAGGAAACTTATGATGACACTAGTAGTAATAGCCATACAAGGAAAAAAGAAACAAGACAGTTACAATATTACACAGTTTCAACTGGGTATTTGGAGAAGTTTAGCTGAAGTTTGATCCATAAAAGTCAGATTTAGAAAGCTGTGCCTGGAGTAAGAGAGAGAGAGAGAGAGTGTGTGAGAAAGAGAGTTGGGGTCTCACCTCTCCAAGGTTCCCAGGTGTTTGTTGACACGCGTACCTCTTGGCGTGATCAGTGAAAGTATTCCAGGCAGAAAAGAAGGTAAATTCCCAGTGGATCTGGTGAGGCTTTTTGGATCCAAGCACCAGAACAGACACTGAAGCTGAGGTAGGGGTTTTTTATAGGGGCTCAAGGGAGAACACTAGGTTATGGGTAAACAATGGCTCATATGCTGGATAATAGGAACTGATCACCCCTGGCGTCACTCTGAGAGCTCACAATGCAACAAGTAGATTCAGTGTTTTGAGGAGTACCAATAAAGGAGTCATTACTAGAATTAATCTGATAAATGCTGAGCTGGGTGTGTGCAGATGGGGGTTGATTGGCATTTGGAGCAGGGATCCCCCATCATGCAGTGCTCCCCTGCTTCTCTGGTCCCAGAATTCAGTGCGGTCCTTGCCTTGGACTCTCTGTTCTCCATCCTGAATGCTAATGAAGGTGCATGCCTGTCCCATTTCCCATGTAAATGAGGCCAGGGGAATTGCCTCACTCCTATCACCCTTGTTTGGAGGGGTTTAGGTGCGTCTCCTACTGCATCTTCATTGTTTTTTGTAAGTCCTTCCTCTTTGTCTTTTGTAAGGGGGTGAGTCCTTTGTGAGTCAGACAGGCTGTGTACTGTGCCAGGGTTCCCCAAGAACACAGAGCTGACGGGTAACAGACAGCAGGATCTGGCCTGCACAATGTCAATGATGTCAGCTACCCCAGGCTGCATTTTTGGCACATGGGTTCTGCTGAGCAGAGGCTGGAGAAGCAGCACAAGGGGGAAAGCAGCCTTCATAGATGTTCTGTGTGCAGGGGCATTTTCAGTTCAGATGGTCCCCAGGTTTGGAGTTCATGAAAGACAAATGGGGAAAACAAGCATGGCAAGGATATGAGGGCTAATGTGGAGTGGTCCGTAACCTAGGGTGGGCAATCAGCTGCCCAAGGAACTGTGGGAGGGCACCACCCTAGGTACCAGTAATTCCCTCCTTGCAGAGCGGGGTACAACAGGCTTGTCACCATCTCAGTTTCCCCCTCTCAGTGCTCCCCAATAGCTTCATCATAGGTGTAACATCCTCCCCAGGGCCTGGGTGCATTAATGCTCCTCACAAGGATACACACATCCTGCCTTTGTGGCTGGCTTTTAATCCTTAGGCCAAGATCCTTCATTCTGTGTCTGCTCAGGCTTTTCTCTAGCCAGATTGCCCTTCACACTCTACCCTTCCTGGCAGTGTCCCCATTCCCTGCGCACCCCCAGGCCTTCTGTCTGTAAGCTTAGGAGATCCTCTGTGTAGGGCAGCTCAGGCAGTCCACATATGTGTACGTGTTCACTATAACTCATGGAGTTTCCCTTATCCTTCTACAAGCTGCTCTCTTCTCACTCCCACAAGCCTAATATAGCTGTGAAATCTGCATGTTCTGTGACTTTGCTCACCTTCCCCAGGTAGAAGGATTGAGGAGGGTCACAGGTGGGACTTCCCCTTCACATGTGTGACTCTTCAGAGGCAACCCCTACTGTCTGGCTTATCTGTTGCTCCTTTAAACACCCTTTTAATTAAAGGGAGAGTCTTGTCCTGGCATGGTCTGGATCCATTAGGTATGGTTTGGGTTTGGGTCATAGGTCACCTTGCTAACCTCATCACCAGAAGCAAACTCCCTATGACCCAAACCTCACCTAATGGATCCAGAGACCATGCCAGGACAAGAAATGCAAAAGCTGCCAACACATCCCCCCCACCCCACAATAACTACACCCCACAAAAGAACCATCACCATTCCTGGATCTTACAGCTGCACCTCCAGAAATGTAATACACTTCATCCAGTGCACCAAATGCCCTGATGGAAAATATGTAGGAGAAACCAAATAACAACTGTGCACACTGAAAATCTATCAAAGACAAGAATACCCAACTACCTGATTGACTGGCCTGCACCAAGAAAAAAGCAAGGAGGGAGAGAGTGGTCACCTGGGCTGACCCAAGTGAGGGGCAGAGAGAAGGGGAGGGGATTTCTTCACAGCTTCAAACTAGACATAAGAAAAAAACATCTTTACAAGTCAAGTGCTGAGGGTTTGGAACAGGCTCCCCCCAGAGGTACAGTCACCCACCCTGGCAATCTTCAAAAAACATCTTGATGCCCATCCTGCTGGGATCATCTGACCCAAGTGGTCTTTCCTCCCCATGTGCAGGGGGGCTGAATCCAATGATCTGTAAGGTCCTGTCCAGCCCCTAAAAAAATGATAAAAATATGAAACCTGTGAGTGCACACTTCTCTCAAGACAGTCACTCCCTCTCCAATCTCTCAGTTCTAATCCTCAAAGGGAACTTACAAAACACCTTTTGTAGACAAGCCTCCAAACTTCACTTCATAAATCTAGTGGATACAAAAACTCATGGACTCAATATAGACATTGGATTTATGGAACATTACAACCTGCCTGACATCTGATTCATCAGGTACCTGCCAGACTGGACCTTTTACACTTTGATTCCCACCCCCTTCCCTTTTCCTGCCCTTTGTCTTCCTAATTTCCAGCTATTTCCTTTTTCACAGACAGCCTCTTTTCTACCTTGAATTACTACCTCTGTAGGGTCTCCCTTACTCACCTTTGGCTTCCCCCCCACCTTTTTCCCCCTCCCTTACCTACTGTACCTTTTGTTTTCCTCATTTCTACCTATTTACATTCTCACTGACATCCTGTCATACTTTTAGCTTCTTTTAATTCCTTGGCATCTCAGACCAGCAGACTCTTCCTATTCCTGAAGAAGGGTGATTGCACCCGGAAGCTTGCAAAGAACATTTTTTCCAACTACTCAGTCTAATAAAAGAACAGGTTCATTGTTTTTCTTTAGATTGCTTCTAGTTCTGAAGTAAGCTCATTTCCTCTGGTTAAAAAATGTTTCTGGGGCTTTTAATAGCTCAGTTCATCCACACAAGTGTGTTGGTTCTCTGGGGAGCTGTGATGGCAGCACACCCTTCAAATAACAGAAGGCCTCTGTGGATTAGCATAAGATCTGGAGCTGAACTGCTCTTTGCCATAATAGCTCTTTGCTTCTCACAGCCAACTCATATATAAGGAAAGAAGCCCAACAACCCCCTCTGCTGTCCATATATGAAACATGATGGATTCATGGCAAAGTTGGGTTTTGTGTGGCGCACACAACTTTAAAAGGAGCTCTTTTCTTCCATGTGGATTTTAGAGGTTCCAGTCTCCCTATTGTTTACAGCACTTTGGGAATCTATTTGAAAGTGAAATCAGATTATTTATATTCCTCCTTTATTCATGGGCACACAGAGTTTTTTTATTGTAGGATGGCTCAGGAGAACTGGCACATCTTCATTTTTTTGCTGTTGAAAGACAAGGACTTAATATCCCTTGTAACTGAAGGCTTTTATAGCCACAAGATTGGTAAAGCACAATCCTGCTGTGTTTTGTTTGCAAACTTTCATCAAACTGCTGTTTATTAAAATGTTCCTCAATTCCTGATTTGTCCAGTTAGAGACATTCTCAGGTAAAAATCCTGTATCTTAAAACAAAATATTTTCCTTTGATCATGATAATGTTGTAGGTAATTAAAGTAGGAAGAACTCTCACATTTTTCCTTTTGATTTTGTCATTTATGATGTTTGTTAACGTTTTCTTTTCACTCAGCAGGGATAGTGAAGAGTCTATTTCCAGGGACTGGCTCTGATATGCTATTGTGTTGCTTCAGTACTTGGGTTGCAAATCATGTGGAGGGGAATGTTTATCAATAAAGAAATGGTTTCTATTGTAATTTTTTTTAAATAGAAAAAATTACATTAAAATTCATTTTTGCAAAATGTTAGTTTTCTATCAAAGAGATACCAGCTTTTCACAAGCAAAGAGCTTTCTTTTAAATCCTGAATAAAGAATAAATGAGGTGATTGGTACAGCAGCTATAAAGAGAAACTACAAACAAATAATATACCTTAAAGATCTATAATTTACAAGACCTTTGTGAGCTGAAAAACCCTAGTTATATGTAACTATTTAAAAAGCGAGAACTTGGTTTTCCAAGAAGATGGCACATCTTCCTTGAGAGAGAAAGTTATTAAGGTACTGACTAATTTGATGTCAGTGGAGTTACTTCAGATTTATAATGGTATTACTGCAAACAGAATTTTGTCTTCAATAATAGTGTAATAGAGTATAATACATATGTACAGCAGGGGAAACGATACTTGTAAGACTACTGGCATATTAATGAAACAGGAAGAGCATAGGCTAGGATATCTGTGGCTGTAAACCCCTATGATTCATCAGAATATTATCATAAGAATCATAGAAAGTAGGGCGGAAGGGGACCTCATCAGGTCATCAAGTCCAGCCCCTTGCTCAAGGCAGGAGCATCCCTAACTGAATCATTTGGGACCCTGGTTAAAGAGAAAGCTGTTATTTCATTGGATGGTTTGGACTATATTTGTTTAAAGTCTCCTGGTTTTTCCAGAATTCTGAACCCATTGAATATGCAAAATTGGACTACAAGTCCAGGCTGTTTGGTAGGACTTCTGACCAAGTTTGCTTCATAGATCTCAGCTATGATATCAGGTAAGATATAAGAACCTCAATAGAGCAGTGAGAGATTTGATAGACAAATTAATTGTATTTCTTCTCTGTCTAGTGTTCCTTAGGTGTCTGATCAAGACAAACGTTTTCATACTATAAAATCCACCCATCTCTAGTCCTGTCTTTTTACTTGCTGAGTGGATTTTTAGTGCCTACTTTGTTGATTAGAGTTCAATTGATATTAGTGAAACTTGTGCCACTAAAGCACAGTATTTAATTCCTCTTAGAACTAATTCCTGATAGACAGTCCATTGAAATAACTGCATATTCCAGGCAGGGTGAATGAGTGGAGGTCAGATTCATAATACTTCAGTTTCCAAATTCTTAAGTCAAAGTTATGTCAGCCCAGAGAAAACACTGAATTTCAGGCTGCTGCATACAGGTCAGAGTCCTTGATGTAGCAAGCAAGTTTCTCCAACCAGAAATTTCTGGAGAAGGATGGTAGGAACAGCTTCTGAAAAGTCCCTTCATTTGGATGAACCATAGTCCCTGTGGGAGCCAGGCGTCTGTAGCTTTGGGTTTAATAGGCATCAGTTACAGACGGAGGGCAATGGTATGCATGAGGCACAGGTGCTTTCCAGTTATTTTTCATTCTTTTCAATTTTTTGTGCATTTCCCCCAGCTCCAGAGCTAGTTGAATATATTTTCAGTTTAGTAAAATCTCAAAATTCCAAAAAACAATAAAAATGAAATGTAAGATACTTGTGTTGCCTCTATCCCTCAACAGCTCCATTCCCCAATCCTTGTTTTCCTTAATAAGGACAATGCTAGCCAGTAGGACTGTGTGAGGCTTTGGGCTGTGCTTCGGATCTGAAGAAGCTTCAGACGCTTCAGCTTCCAAAGCAGCATGTCCAGATTGAAGTGCTGGCTTCGTTAGGCTTTCCGAATCGGTTCGGAGATCAATGAAATATCTATATGTTGTCTTTTGTCTGATTTGGATGAAACCTGCAGGGGTGGTAGCCTCTGTGGAGTGCATGAAGCATGCCAAGTTGCAAGAAGATCAGTGCAGGGGTTCAGGGGGAACTGCACCCCAAATTCTTGAAAGCAAAACTCATGTCACGTGCCTGTGTTACACCACAGTGAGGTCAAAACTGCAGGGGTGGTGGCCCCTGGTGCAGCCACAAAGCCTGCCAAGTTTCAAGAAGATAGGTACAAGGGTTTGGGGGAAACTGCACCTCAAGCTGCGGACAAGTAAAACTTGTGACATGGGTGACAGTGTGTGTGTTAAGGTGCAGTGGGGTGAAAGCTGCAGGGATGGTGGCCCCTGCTCAGGCCACAAAGCCTGCTAGCTTTGTGTGCATCTCTCTGGGGAAGTCTGTCTTCTGGAGTCCTACACCTCTAGCTGCTGACAGACAAAACTTGTGACATGGGTGCTTGTGCAACTGACTGTCTCTGTCTTGGGGCAGTTGATTGTCTGTATTGATTATTTCCTCTCCTTAATCTGTGGTTTTTTAGGCGTTAATCATTTCTAATTAATTATCTAGTAGCTATTAGTAGCTAGGCACTGTTATTGAGCTGGCCCCTGAGTGAATCATGATTGATTGGTAACTGGTAATGCAGTAGCTTAGCAGCCAGGCCTGCAGTAGTTCTTCCTGCACCCCCCCTGAAACCCCTTTGGTGCCCCAAGACAGATGCAGTCAGTTGCACAAGTACCCATGTCACGAGTTTTGCCTGTCAGCAATCAGAGGTGCAGGGCCCCAGAACCCAGAAGCCCTGCACCTATCTCCTTGACAGCTGGCAGGCTTCGTGGCCACAGCAGGGGCCACCATCCTTGCAGCTTTCACCCCGCTGCACCTTAACACACACTGTGTCACCCGTGTCACAAGTTTTGCCGGTCAGCAGCTTGAGGTTCAGTTTCCCCCAAACCCCTGCACTGATCTTCTTGAAACTTGGCAGGCTTTGTGGGCTTTGCCTCACCAGGGGCCAACACCCCTGCAGTTTTGACCCCCCTGTGGTGTAACACATACACGTGACATGAGTTTTGCTTTCAAGAATTTGGGGTGCAGTTCCCACTGAACACCTACACCAATCTTCTTGAAACTTGGCATGCTTCATGCTCTAAGCAGAGACTACCACTCCTACATGTTTCATCCAAATTGAACAAGCAACAACAAAGTTATAGATATTTCATTGATTCCCCATTATAGCCTATGGCCGGATCTCTGAGGCGGCTCCAAAGCTTCAGAGCCACTTCAGCTGGATCACAGTGGGAACCCGGTCTGGAGCTGTGGATCAGATCCCTGGCATCTGAAGTGGCCGGATCCGAAGCCAGATTGAATACTGTCTCCTTGCACCGGCCTACTAGCCAGTGAGGTGGCTTTAGTAATGTATAGGCTCTTAGAGCCTCAAAGAAATGAAGAATATCACTAAATACTGTAATCCCTTGTGAAGAACCTCATGATAGTTGTGCATGAAACCCAACCTAAAAATGCATACCTTTGCTTAACACCAATTTCTGGTAGGGAATAAGAATAATTGAGTGAGACCTTTGTGCTTTTCCTATCTCTGGGGCATTTGAGGGAGTTCAGCTCCCAAACCAAGGAAGTTCTAACCTCCTTTGGCTAAACTCCTTTGTGCTTGTCACTAAAGCACAGTGTGTGAATGGTTGTTTGTTTTTCCCTCCCAAAAGAAAAAGAACATCATTTTAGTGGAATAAAGTCACTTTTGGGTTGACCTAATGTTAAAATATCTTTGGCAGAAAAATCTTAAAATATGATGGCTTGTATCAACAGAAATATTGAAATGTGATTTTAGAATGTTTCATCTTTTTTCAACTATTACTGCTAAATTTCAAATTTTCAACATTATTTTAAAATGAGAAGTGGAATTCTTGGACTTTTTCTAAAATAATTTCTTCATTTTTTTCAGCTTAAATAACCGCATCCCTTCAAATATTAGATGCCCTTGAATTTAAGATGCACTTAAATGTTCTGTCTCTGAATGAAAGAAAAAACAAAGCATCAGATAACGCTGCATTTACAAGGAAACAGCCTCTATGGGGTTTATCAAAGCTATGCTACATTTAAAAATTCAAATGTAAAATGCAGACCATTTTAGAAGATATAATTAGGTTTTTTTAGAAGTATCTTATATTTAAAAGAAAATAGTATATCGCTGTACCAAGGTATGTTGCATGTTGTTCTGTGAGAGGTTGTTCATTGTAACTGTTTTGGATTCAGCAAAGCACATTACAGTGTTATAAACCTCTCTTTTCCAAGAGAGCTCATTTAGATCTGAAAGAGCTTGTAAAATGGGCTCTTGCCTACTTATGGCTCAGACCCTGCAATAGCCATAAAACAAATACATACAGAATGAAGAAGCAAGGTAGACTGGACATTCATGAGCTGCCTTCTTCACTGCTGCCTATTACAGCTTCCCAGTCAAAGAGCTTGACTTTGAAAACTGAATCTTTACTTTGTCCCCTCAAGCATTTTACTTTCCATACAGCTTTTGGATCTATCTGTCTGTCTACCTAATTACAAGGGGGATGTTTGTTTTGTTTTGTCATTTATTGCTATAGTAACTGACCACTTCTACTTACTGCATCTGTCTGTTCCTTTTTTTTATTATTAAAAATGCAATGCACAGCTCAAACCATATTCCTTCTGAATCTCCTGCCTGCTAGCATTTTGAAGGCATTGGCTCTCCCTCTGAAGTCCTAAAGAGCTTACTTCTAAAGTAAAACTTTCTGGTTAAATAGGATAATGTTGGTTGAATACAGAACAGACTGTGGTAACATTGTTACACCTTCTTGGGTTTTGGTGGACTTTGAGTAAGTGTTATTACTAATATCGTCCTTGTTGTCTTGGGATTATGGGGTTGTTTATAGCTGGTCTTAGTTTGACTTTGCTCACAGCTGAAAAGAGCCTCTGCATCATCCTGCTTCTTGCCTTAATGTTAAGGCTCACAGAATACAAATTGCCTTGCTCAAAGCAGCTGTGCAGCTGCTCCTTTAGTTCAGTTCCCAGCTTGCTTTGGAAATGCTGTCTTGTGGTCGCTGCAGAAAGTGGCAGGGGCTGAAGAGGTGTCCAAGTCCTATTCTGAGCTCTGCCATTCCCTTACTGTGATCCTGAGCTAATCACTTAACATGCTTGACTCAATTTTCCCACCTGTAAAAGAAGAACATGTCACAAAAGTGTTAAATTGCTAATTGCACCCATTAAATTAGTGCTTCTTAACCTTTTTAGACTCAAGGTACTCCTTGTTAAATTTGAAGCACCTCTTGGAAGATGCCAATTCTAGTTTTCATACTTTTTTTGACTATGGAAAATACCAGAGCAATTCTTTTGTTGCAAAGAACTCAGAAAACCCAGAACAGAACTGAATGGTCTTGACACTGTGGGTTCCTATTTGAAATTTCTAGGTTTATCTTGTGAATCATATTTGCATACCTAGCAGTGCTAACATTGCATGGCATCCCATGGCACCCTTGAAAAAATCCCAAGGCACCTAGGGTGTTGTGGCACCCTGGTTGAGAGCCACTGCATTCGATGGAACTTCATTCTCCAGGAATGTTCATTGACTTTGCTGCGTTTTAGACAATGTCTTATACCGTAATTCATGTTGCTAGGGATGGTTGAGGGGCTAGCACACATACATCACTAGCTGGCTCAGTCTATTCCTAAACTGTTAGCACCACAGACATTTGGGGGGTGGGGCGGGGTGGGGGGGAGAAATAGCTACTGCTCTAGTCTTTGGGAGGGAACCATGATATAGTTAATGGGGTAAATCTGGCTCTCAGTGAAATCAAAGGCCAATGTGCAAATGGCTTCAGTGCATCCAGGATCTGTCCTTTAGCATACAGTGCCATGCTTTCACAGAGGCCACTGCAAAGGCCAATGTCCTGATAAAATTAGATTTTGTTTTCCTTCCGCCCTCTGTCTGTTTTGTTGAGTTAATTCCAGCTGTGCCAAACCCCAGTGATCACAAGTTCACGTGTCATGAGTGGGAGCTGGCTGACAGCTTGTACAATGCAGGCTGGCAGGTGACGGTTAAATCTAATGAGGGTCATGCCTCTGCAAGCCTCCATCAGTCTAAGTCTCCATGGAGGCATTGCTAGGACTCTTAGGGTCAGGTTTATTTCTGTTTGTGACTACTAGAGCTAGTGCTGTGACTGCCAGAATCAGTTTGGCCCATTGCTCCATATTCAGATGCAGCACCCAACCATATGACCATGACCTTGCTTTGCCTGTCTGGGTATCTAGCTTTATATGTTGAACCAATTATCATGAGCCCTCCCTAACTGGAAGCACTTTAAATAGCCAGAAGTAAGCTGTACCCTATATTAGCCATTCTGCACTCCCACAGGAAAGGGAATGTGAACTGACATGGCTGCTGATTGGGGTTAGCAGCAAGCTGTCCCTGGAGAAGGCCAGCTTCTGTTAGATGAGAGGCCTGGGAAATGAATTTAGGTTAAGCATACAGGTCATTATTCTGAAAGAGAGCAGCCCAGCTAGCACTTACTGAACATACGTTTTCTTGATTTGAGAGGCAGCATTAACCCAACAGGGATTTTCATATGACCCATGTTCACCCCAAATGAAATGTCTATGGTCTTTCTCCTAGGTTACATGTATAGCATACAGGGACTGTCTATACAGGGACTCTCTCCAGTGTTTACTGCATGAAGCCAAGGGCCCTGTCTACCTTTCAAAATTAACTATAATTGAAGTTGGTTGTGAAACTAGGTTATGGTCTAGCTGTATTATAACACAGCCTTCTCTTTCTTGTGCAGGCAGAAAACCCAAATAATGACCACGTTAAGGTACCGTGTTTTAATCTAGGTATATAGTTGAGCCAGATCGCTGTTCCCTATAATAACCTTCCAGTACACCTGGGCAAGAAAAAAAAATCAATCTCCCATTTTAATAAGTCATTTGGACCACAGCAGTGTTTAAAAATGCTTGGTTTGGCAGAAAAGATGAGTGGTACTGGGATGCTGATACTGGGAATACAACTATCCTAGCTAATACTGTGTTTAAATGACATGGATAATGTAGCTGTCTAGACTGATTCATAGCCAAGGATCCAGGAAGTTTCTTGGTTCTAATCACCGCTGCCATTTACTCACCTTGAACAAGTCACTTATCTTCTCCATGCTGCATTTTATGAGGATTCATTAGAGAATGTTGGTTTAGTGCAGTCATCCCCAACCTGCCTGCAAGATGCTCTAGATTAAAAAGTAGCCACAAGAAATTTTGCTTTTCCCAGATCTGTGCCTCTGTGAGTGAATAACATGTCACCTGCAGCATGTTACTTGCTCAGTGTTGTTGCTCATGGGCTGGTGACTTCTGGTTTAGTGGTTTGAAAATGTAAAGTGCTGCATAAGATTAATAGGCATAGTTTCACTGATTATTAATACCCAAGCTAGGCAGACTTTCTTGCACAAGATCCTTTTAGATCAGGGTCCACAATGTTTTGGAGTAGAGGGACTGTAGTGAACCTTGGCTCCAAGCACAGACCACTTGCAACCTGGCCAGCACCACTGTCACCAGTTAGCACTCCCCGCACAGGGTCATTGCCTTCGCTGCTCCCTGCCACCCAGTCACCACATGGGCATGCTGAAACACTGCTGAAGCCCCCCAACTCCATGGGCCACAACAAATGGCTCCTCAGGCCAGATCCAGTCTGTGGGCCATAGGTTACTCACGCTGCTTGAGGCAGTCATATGGCAGAACCCGGCTAGCAACAATCATGTTGATGTGCTGCTGGATTAGAACAGACCATATCCCAGGGTGGTCATGACCTTGATCATCTTCTGTTCAGCTAGTTGGACCCAATCCTTTTGCCCTAAGACAACTGCCCTAGGATGAAATGTATGAAGTAAACCGTTTCTCATGGATCTGTCAGCTAGTGGCAGAGTCAGGCATAGGATCCAGGTCTATGGAATCCCATGCCCATGTGTGACACATAAGGCCATGTTACCTCTTTCATTAGAAGCACATCAGAGTCCACGTTCTCCTGGCACCTGAGATTCAGGTTTGGAAGCCATGATCCACATCCAAATGCATGCTTCCCTACTCTGCAGAGGTGTTTGGTGACTGATTTCCAATTAAGCCTATTACACAGATGAGCCTACTCTCATCTGTATAATAGATAAGTAGGTTCTGGGTTCAAAATTCCTCAAAGGTTGGCAGATAAGGGGTGTTAGACTGACTGTCGTGATATGAACCTCTCTCAAGTGCTAATGTGACAACTTGGATTTCTTGCCAGCCAAATCCAAGATAACTGGCCAGCTGAGATTCCTGCCTGCCTCACCCCGTCTTCTGAGATCAGGCCTCAGCTAGAGTTACCCTGTCAGTCCCAAGCACAAAAATCCCTGAGTTCACTGCCTGTTTGAGCCAGGTGGCTGCTTGTGGTGTTGGCACTTGTAGCTCTGCCCTCCCAGCCTTCACCTGAAAATCAGAGCGTCCTACTTCTTTCCAGAGCAAGGGAAAGATTTCCTCTCTGCTATGACTCAAAATACTCCCTGCCCCACCATGAGGAAGACAGAGGACCCTCCCTTAGACCTCCCTCCCCTTCCCTGGAGAGGAGGAGGGAAGGCATCTCTATACCTTTGCAGTCAGTCACATGTAAGCCATGCTAATAGCAGGCCTGTCACTTTAATGGAGCACCCATTCCACATGTGCAGAGAGAAGCAGCTGCTGTGGAAACACTTGATTTCCCAATTTGGCAATTAATGCTAGGTACAGTAAAGAACTTTGCACTGAGTGTGCTACCAAACCTGCTTGTTAAATCTCAGGTTCCTGCAGGACCAGTCTCTGGGTGTCTCACTACATCCCACACAGGGCAAGCTTGGGCAAACAACTCTTGGACATACTGTACCCCCAGCTGAAGGGGTGGGACAATTGTATAACTAACACCTGTTGGAAACTGCTTGGCTACTGCACAGCTCATGCTCTTTGCCTTGTCAGGGAAAGTTTAGAGATGGCCCCGTTTGCCCTGTAGGACAATAATAAAGCCTTGCCCTTTCTGGCTGAAGATCTTAAAGTGACTTTACAGCAGCATTACCATCATCACATTACAAACTGGGTGACTAGGCAGCTTGCCCAGCAGCTTGCACAATAAGCCACTAGGGGTGCTGGGAACAGACCCCAAAAGCACTGACCTCCAATGACATGCTGCCATCCTCAGTACATACACATTCTTTGTTCTACAGGGCTGGCAATAGGTTTTGTCATACCCTGCACGAGGAGCAGGATTTTGTCACACTGCTCCATGCATCAGACTCTTGCTTGCCTCATCCTTCCCTCTCTGTATGGTGATAGCCCTCCATTCTCCACCATCTGTAAATGGACCCACCTCACAATGACAGAAAGAGCTACAACAGAGTGGGAGAATGGCAGATGCCTCTAAGGAAGGCAAAAGGGGTGTAGCTTAAGATCATTCTGAATGGATGCGTTGTGGCACTCCTAGACATGGACTGTGGTGCTCATCCATGAGTAGGATGGAGTAAGGAGTTGGAAGATGTGCTGATCTGTCCTTTTAACTGAGAAGTTATGTCCACCATTTATTGCATCAGTACGGTGTGCAGATGAGCTGTTGGTACCCTATTTTTTGGGAGACAGCTGTTTAACAGCAGTGTCATAT